CCCTGGCCTTGGCCCTGCAGAAGACCTGCTGTGCTTCTTCACATGGTGAAGCTTCCTTCCCCACTGGGAAGCTTGACCTCGCCTTCACTGTCACCTGCACTCGGGGCAAGCTGTTCTGATCATTTGAAAGGAGACTGCAGGCTCACTCTACAGGTGTCAGGGTCTTCCTAGAGCAGCCACCCTTTGGGGATGCCCAAGGACCTAGGCCACACGCACATCATGCAAGAGCACATGGGGAACATATATCCACCAACAGACAGGAAGGCACACTATGTGTGGACACTTTCCTAGAAACACCGCAGATGCAACCAACCCTGCCCTCTTGGGGTGCAACGCTATTTGAGGGCCAAAAATTCACCTGGACTGCAGAGTAGGCATTGCTCCCATTACGACGAAGGGGACGCTGTCCTGACTCTCTAGATGTGGAGGCACAACAGCACAGGAGGAGCTCCAAAGGGAACTGGGGGACACACGGCTCCATGAACTGGAGACTGCGCTCTCCCTCCTGCTGGTAGACTCTGACTGACCCCTTCCTTCTCAGATATTTAGGGAGCAGCGACCCTGTGCCCTTGACTGCGAGGACACAGCAGATCCGAAGCTGTGTCTTCAGCGAGGTGACCTGCCACTGGGGAGGGGCAGGAGACCCCGTGTCAGGCTTCCCTGAAGGAAGGCACAGGCGTCACTTCACTAAGCAAGGACTCCCTCCCATAGAGCCTTCTGTCAACCTCTCGGGGTCGCCTGGGGCCGCAGTGCCCCATTGGGCACCAGGAGGGTAGAGGGTCAGGCTGGGCACCTGCACACACTGGGCGGGAGGCCCAGGGGTCCCTTCCTACAGGTGACCTAGTGTGGCTGGAAAGGCCATGCCTCTCACCCTGCTGCCTCCATACCTCCCCCAGGTCCACCTCTTCTGGCCTTGACTCCGCACTGGAGCTGCACTCCGAGGGGGATCCCCCAGCTGAACTTCTAGACCAGCTGGAGCCTCCTGAGCCCCCTGAGGAAGAACTTCAGGGTAAGGACAGGGCTATAGGCCTGTGGGCAGGGCATGGGCCTTGGAACACACCAGAGCTTCCACATGCTGGATGACCCAGGAACACTGAGACACCCAGCAGCCCCTGGGGGGATGCAGTCTGGGAGGACCTGGGGCCGTGTTGGTGCACATGGCTGTCTCTGGCAGGCAGTGGGAAGGTTTTGCCCCAGGGAAGAACATGCAGGGTTGGTGAGCTTTTCTCCTCTTGCAGCTGCAGGGCCGGCTCCAGCCTACGCTCAGGTCGCACCAGCAGAGCTCGTGCCAGTTCCACCGGCAGCTCCCTCATCAGCTCGAGCCCCACAGCAAGAGCCGGAACCTGCATCCCCTTCTCCACCAGCTGCTGACCTGCAACTCCCGGAGGCTCCACAGCAGGGCTCAGCTCTTCAGCTCTACCTGTGGGCAACTCTTGACCCACACCTGCCATTCCCCTGTCTCGTAGATTTGCTTTGCATCGTATCTCTTGCTATCCTTATTAACCAGAGCTATGTCAATGATAGAATTTAAATAAAATGTAAGGTTTAGTCTTGTTTAAAAGGCTTGCCGTGGCATTAAATGCATTCTCAATAGCGTACAACCTTCACCGCTGTCCTGCTCTAGAACATTTTCCCCAATTCTGTACCCAAATGGATCTCCTCCCCTCTCTGCTGCTGCTAGATCCTGAACGCCATCCATCTCATATCCCTGTCATTTCCCCATTCTACACTTTTTCACAACACTGCAATCACATTGTGTTACAGAACCAGGGAGGGACTGTTTCAGCTTGAGTTTGCTAGAAAGGGAAGATCCTAACTAGCTCCCAAGGATTTCTCAACAAATAGTTTCCAGTTCTTTTTGTCACACAAGAAATATTTATCGCACTCAAATGCAGAATGCACTCTTGAGTGAATAGTCAATGAAAGGACATACTGACAGTCAGCGCACCTAGGACCGGCAGCCACCCTGGCGGTGTCCCTCCTCCCTGTCTTTGCTGTGGGGCTCGGGTCTGTGTGGTTTTCTTCCTGCATGGGGGGTGTGTAGGCCGCAGCTCTCCTGTCGGCTCATGTACGCCCTGGAGACGTGGTCCATTCTAGGAGGACTCTCCACTGGCATTTTTGGAGGCCCTGACACACAGGTGTTTCAGCAACCTCTGCTCTGGACTTTTTCCAATCTTTCAGCTCATACCAGAGCTCAAGGAAACTTCTGCCACCCTAAATCTCATTTTCCAAGTTGGATTCCCAGCAGTGGAGTTTCTGGCTCACAGTCACACAAGTGGGGACACGCATGTGCTCTCCACTGGGGTGTCCCCAAGGCCTAGGGGTAGCACCCACGGTTCCCAGACACAGAGATTCATGGTGGCCTCTGGGAAATGCAGTTGGACAGGGTCTTAGGAGGTAACGAGGACAGCTCACGCCTTTGTCACAGCTCAAACACAGAGGAACAGCTCAGCGCAGGCCCACCTCTCCTCCGTGAGGAGGGACAAACTTTCTCTAGGTTTTCCTTCAATTTTGCCTTCAGAATAGCAAATCTCAGAGTACCATGGGCAGCAGGAACTATAGGTTCCTAGGGGAATTTACTCCAGTTTTTCCCCTGTGGACACTGCAGAGGAAACGTCCTTAAATTTCATTCTGCTACTAGGCATTGAACATAACCAAGGGCTTCTCACTGACATGCAGCAACAGCCCTTTGAAAGTTTTTTTTTTTTTTTTTTTTTTTTTTTTTTTTTTGAAATTGTGACACAGAGTCTCCCTAAGTAGCTAAGTGGTCCAGGATGATCTTGGGTACATCATTCTCTTGCTTCAGGTTTCGAGAGTGCGGGCATTGGAGCGGTGTGCCGTCTCTCGTGGCTCCTGGAAGCCTTTCTGAAAGACCGACTTCAAATTTCATCTCTGGACTCTGGCTGACCACTTTCAGGTCTTGAGTCAATTTGGTACCTCTAGCAAGCGGTGTGGACTCCAGCAGAGGGCTAGGGATCCCTGAGAGGCCAGCACCTGGCTGCACATGTGCTCACTGGGTGACCATCATTCCAAGCCCACCCAGTCTGGGTGAATGGCCACACGTTCTGCACTGACCTCCCTCCCACACTGGCTCCTCATGTGCACAAATCCCACTTTTCAGCAAGGTAACCTGGGCAGGTGAGGTAGGAAGAGCCTGGCCTAGTGAGACTGGCTCCCCTCTAGCCCCAAAACTCCTGCAGGAGGAGGGGTAGGAACTGCAGACTGCTCTGTGTCCTGAGTCTGTGCCCATCAACACTTGCAGGAACCATCTTATCAGTCTCCAGGCTCCACCTGCAACCCACAACCTCTACCAGCTTGGCCTAGGCTCCCTCCACCACCACACAAAAACACCACGTCCGTGCCAAATGCTGCCAGGCTCCCAAACTATGCATTTCGACCCACTGCATTTGGCATAAAGAAAGGACCTTCCACACGGAGCTTGTGCTGGCAAGGCCTGGGGGCATGGGCTGGGTGCTCAGTACCAGCAACCTGGAAAACAATGTATGCTTGAAAGATTGCACCCTCCTGCACCACATGTGGCCTACCTTCCACTCTACACGTTCAGCATGACAACTCAGCGCCATGAATATCACTATGCACCTCTTGCACTTACGAACAAAAAGAGTAGCACAAACAAAATTTAAACACAAAACCAAGTTCTGACACCTGAGAGAAAAAAGAGTACAAAGTGAAGCAAAACCAGTTTGGAAATTGCTGAAAGAAGTTCAGTGAGAAATTTCACGTGACCCAGCTATCCCACTTCTAGGAATCTTCCCCAGAGAGCTGAAGACATCAGAGTACAGTGCAACATGCACACCGATGCTTGTAGCAGCACAATTCACACCAGCTCAATTCTGCTAGGAGCCTGAACACCCTTCCACAGGTGACTGGGTCAAAACGTGTGGTGTCCACCTCTCAGGAAAGAAAGCTGACTTGCCTATAAAGGAGGACCAATTTGAGACTTAGTCAGGAAGATGGGTGCACCTAGGCAATACAACGTTGAGTGCAATGTATCACACCCGGAAAGCTCACATACTACATAGTAACTCTCATTGGCACAAGGCAAAATGCAAAGCAAGGGCATAATAAAGGAAGGCCACAGAGAGACAAGGGCATGGATCTCTTACAAATGGGAAGGGTCCAAGAGAATGGGAGTGAGAAGAGAAGGAGAACAAAGTAGAACAGGGATCCTACTAATCTCAATGCGTTTAGATGATATGGAAACGTGACATCAGACTAATAATAACATCACCAAGAAGGACAACAGGGAGAGAATTCCAAGAAGGACGATTCCAATGAAAACAACCCTCAGATTGCACCTCACTGCAGAAAGAATGACTAAGATCAAGAAAGCAATCGGTAACAAGCCTTGGGAGAGCGGTGGGGAGAAAGAAACCTTTCTCCATTGCTGGTGTGAACGTAGACTATCACAACCCCTGTGGAAAGCAGGCTGGAGATGCCTCAAACCACTAAGGATAACGATTCCACTTGACAGAGCTATTGCTCTTGTTGGTGTCTTCCTGAAAGACGGAAAAGCACATACTTACCACAGCGATCTATGCACACCCACGTCCATAGTGGCACAGTCTGTGGCAGTCAATCTTGGAAACAGCCCAAACGTGCGGAAGAACGGTCATGGCCGCTTCACAGTTCAGGGTCAACCCTAGAAACAGAACAAATGGCCATCCGAAGATGGGTGCTTGTACAAGCTGTGCTTCATGCACACAATGGTGTGGGATGGATCTGCCACCAACAAGGAACAGCACAGCTGGAGTGGAGCTTGGTACACTGCTTGAAGAAGACTCACCAAGCAACACTGCTACTGAACCTCTAGAACAGGGCAGCGATCCAGCAGCAGGGACACCTGCTGGAGGTCCTGCACATGGCCTGCTTGGGAGCTGGGGAGAGGAGGACAGGAAGCGATAGCAGTGGCCACAACAAAGTCTCGAGGGACGTGTGCATGTGTCCTTCATCAGCACAGGGTGATGATCTCCACAGCCTTGCGAAGACCTCACTGCCTGCTCTCCCTCTCCATAGGGTCTTATCCTACTGGGGACTACGCTGTGTGACTGAGTTCCGTATCTATGCGTGAATCACTCCAATGCACCTGGAAGGTAAAACCTGCTTTGAAGCCTCCATGACTAACCACGCAGTGGCTGTAACTGGAGACTTTCACATCTAGGGAGGAAAATGATTATGGACATTTGAGGTACTTCACAACACTCCCTACTGCAACTGCAAGAACTCTGAAATCCACCCATGAACACGGTCATCCTACAATTGCACACATCACTGAGCAATGACGCTGAGCACTGCTCCTTCACAGGAAATGGACCCTCTGGCAGGAAGAACACACTTCAGGGCGTGCCTGCCACATCTCAGGCATCTACACAGTGGCTGCACTAAAACTTCAAAGTTCACCAGAGTCTAAAATCACACTCAGGGGCTGGGGATTTAGCTCAGCAGCACAGCACCTGTGTGGCAAGAACGACTTCGTGAGTTCGATTCCTGGTACCAGAAAAAAACAAAAAACAAACAAAGAAACAAAAAAAAATACAAAAATACAAAAAATACAAAATAAAAAACTAAAATCACACTCAGACTCTCTAGTTCTTCATTGCTGTTTCGAAGGAGCACACAGATTTGCTCCAACACAAACAGAAAGACAGGTGGTAGTCTTCTTATGCCGGGGGGGGGGGGGCTCCGCTATGGCCCCCAACACACGACCTCACTTCCTTGGCGACAGATCCAAACAGAACTTAGAACCCTGTGGGCACTAGGCACCATAGGTTAGTGCCAACTGCCTTCCCAGGCACTTAGCTGGACACAGGCAGTAGTAGAAATGCTGTGTTGCTTTCCCAGGCCTCGAGGCACCAGCCTCAGGACCCCGCACAGGGAAACCGTGTGGCAACGAG